AGTAGCATGAATGCTTTCCATTTATTTGTATCTTGCAAAGCACAAGATACTTGGTCAAACATCTCTCCGGAGGTGGCACACGGTTCTGGTGCCGTATTTGGTTTTTAGACATGGCAAATAACGCTCAAATCCAATACAAATTCGAGCGCCATATAAGGAATACGGACGTTCAAAACCCATTGAGGTCTATCACCGAGGAAAAGTCAAAAGTCATTGGCCATGCTAGTGCGGATGCTGGCCGTTTCGGCATATCTTGGGACTCCAATGTGGTTGTTTAACTAGTGTGAAGTTTTACTCATTTGGCGAAGTAACATGAACACTTGCCATATCTATGTATCTTGCGAAGCACATGAACTTGGTCAAACATCTCTCCAGAGGTGGTACATGATTCTGGTGCCGTATTTGGTTTTCAGACATGGCAAATAACGCTCAAATCCAATACAAATTCGGGCACTATATAAGGAATATAGACGTTCAAAACCCATTGAGGTCTATCACCGAGGAACAAGTAAAAAAATCATTGGTCATGCTAGTGCGGATGCTTGCCATTCAGGCATATCTTTCAACTCCAATGTGCTTCTTTAACTAGTGTGAAGTTTTACTCATTTTGCGAAGTAACACGAACGCTTGCCATATCTATGTATCTTGCGAAGCACATGATACATGGGCAAACATTTCTCTGGAGGCGGCGGTTCTAGTGCCTTATTTTGCATGAAATTGTCGGACAGGCAAATAATGTCAACATGGCGGTCCTATTTGGCAACTGAAGTAACCCATCATGGTATATCACTGGGGAACAAGTTGGAACACCGTCGTCCATCCTAGTGCGGATGCTCACCGCTCTAGCAAACCTTGCGGTGGTGATGTGCTTGTTTACCTTCTGTGGCATTTACTCGTTCAACAAAGTAGCATGAACACATGACATTTCTCTGTATCTTGCGGAACACGTGATAGTTGGTCAAACATTTCTCTGAGGTGGTACACTGCTGCCTTCCGACAAGAAATTGTTGGACATGAAAAATGACACTCAAGTATGACACAAATTTGGGTTACCGTATTCGGTAACCAAAGTTGGAAACCTGTTAAGGTCTATCATTGAGGTACAAGTCGAACAATGTCAACAATCCTAGCCCCAATGCTCGGCATTTCAGTGTACCTTGTATCACATATGTGCTTGGTTACCTAGTATAACATTTTTCTCATTTGGAGAAGTAGCATCAACGCTTTTCCATTTCGTTGTTTCTCATGAAGCACATGATACCCATTCAAACATTTATTTGGATGCGGTACATGATTTCAGCAACCTATTCGACATGGTATTCTTGGACACGATGAATAACACCCAAATCCAAGATGAAACACATGATACCTAGTCAAACATTTATCCAAACGTGGTACATGATTTCATTGCCTTATACAACATGATTGTTGGACATGACAAGTAACGCTCAAATCAAATCCAACACAAATTTGGACTATCATATTCGGAAATCAACGTTGGAAACCCGTGATATGTCGGTTAGGAACAAGTTGAACGTCGTTGACCATCCTAGTCCCGACGATCACCATTTCATTGTATCTTGGCGATCCCGATGAGTTGTTTACCTACTCAACATTTACTCAGACACGGTACTGAATTCAACAATTGAAGTTGGACAACCGTAGAGGTCTAAATCATATAGGAACAAGTTCAACATCGTTGGGCACGCTAGCTCCGACGCTCGTTATTTTGGTAGACCTCGCAATGCCCATATGCTCGCTTGCTAGTCCAACACTTAATAAGACGTGGTAGAGGATCTCGGTGCCTTATCCACCATGATATTGTTGGATACGTCAAAAGCACTCTAATCCAACACGGATTCAGAGTGTCAAACTAAAAAAATGGACACCCTAGAGGTCTATCATCGAGGAACAAGTTAAATGACGCCCGCCTCATGGTCCCGACACTCAAGAATCCGTTATACACATATGCGCTCAACATGGACTCAAACATAGTATTCGATTTTGGTGCCTCATATGGTATGTATTTTTAAACAAAAAAACAACACTAAAATCCAACATGGATTTAGGGATGTTGACTTGGAAACCAAAGTTTGGCAAGGATGTCCGAGCAATGCCGGAGATGTTTGTTGTACGGTAGTACCGTGATTGTTTGGCGCACCAACGATGCCGTATCAAGCACCTTTTACGTTGTGAAGCATATGTGCTTGCTTAGCTAGTCTAATATTTTCTTGGATGCGGCAAATAGCATTCAAATCCACACGGATTTGGAGTGTCGGAATCAGCAATCAAAGTTGACACTGATGTCCGAGCAAAAAGCCATTTCGAGCATGGATTTCGGCAGCCCCTTTACCACCACCACTTTGTCGTCGGCCAGAGACCAAATCACACACGATTGGTTGCGAGAGTGCAAGTGAGCAAAGCAACCCCGCCCCTTCTCCACGACTAGATCCCCCCAAAACATGCTTTCATATGATGCACATTATTCCCTTTTGTTTCTTTGCCTTTAATATTTACGTCAACATGATTCATATTTAGGCTAAACTAACCATTTTTGACTGGAAAAATAATTAGCTGAAGGGTCTATTAGAGCGGATCTATTAATATTACCAAACAAAC